ACATTACATGCCAGAGACATGGTCATAGAACAGAATTCATTAATACAAAATTCCTGTCATTCAACTATTTAATAAATGATCTGAAAAACAGGGTTTCATTACGTTCAATGTAAGTTGGAACAGTAGCTGTCCATGTATGATCTGGGCCCAGAATGACAGAAATGCTTGATTTTGATGCATTTGTAACATTAAATCAGTCCAGGTACAAGATAGAGGCGGGCACGCAAACATACACAAGGTCAATCCATAAGTTCTCATTTACGGACTGTGTCCAAACGAGGGCTAATAAAGATACATGGGTTCCCCTAATAGTCAAGTACATACACGTATGATGAAAATTAGAAGATATCTCTAATCCTCGGCATCATGTACTGTATTTCACTAACCACGTCATTTCCAAGACATAGTTTGTAAACAAGGTTTCGCGATAATATAATGCAATTATGATAGATCGGCAAAAAATTACTACCAGTATTTTACCAACATTATTGCAATCACAAAAAAAATACCAATTTCATCATCTTTAGTCGCCTTCCCCCGCACTAATTTTGAACAAAATTACAAATGGGACGAAAGGAGATGATTTACAAAAGCTGTCACCAAGTATCTTATGTATTGTCTTGATAGTTGCGTAGTGAAGACGATCAATCATTCGTATGGATCTAAGATACGATCATCACGACATAACTGATCCACATCTACAGATAAATTTTTATACATTGATCTCGTTGAAAAGTAGTTAGTTAATGATATTCGGAAAAAAAAAAGTAATACCACAGTCTTTTCAGAATAAAAAGTGATTGATGGGGATTCCCATGATGCATTGCAGAAAACCGAGAGGGAAAATTCATCGAAAACAAGAAGATTTCATGAATAACTGTGTTAAAACATGATGCATGATGGTCTATCAGAGGTGATCACACTGCCATGCTGCAAAAAGTTGTTGATATCCTCATTAAAATTAGCGGTGAATTAATCGGCACTTACACAAATCACTGAATACTTCCCTTTCAAAACTAGGTCGTTTAGACAACTGAATCAATCAAATACGACTTAACAATGCACATGCTGAGACATGATCAGACCTGAGTTTATAATTCATGTAAGCTATAATATTTTAACCTTAACTTGAGGACCTACATATTTTATTATATTTTTTTTGAAATGAATGAAAGAATGCATTTTAGGTAACAAATGTGTGTACAGTCTTCGACTGAAAATGAGCCAAATTTTAGTCAACTTTTTTGGCTGCAGGAAATTATGGTAAAATTTAAATTGTTTTTTGGCAAAAATAAAGGCTTTAAACATTGCTCAAAAAGATTAGAAACACCCAAATCTTATTTATTATGTATACAGAAAATAGTACAACATGACGAGGTTCACTTCTTACTTCAAGTGACTTCACAACGAACTATCAGCTTTAATAGAATTTAACACACAGCAACGTTATTCATGAATGCAATTACGGTCAGCTGTTGGTTGACCAGGCAATTGATTGTACAGAGTCAATCATTTGATTAGGATGAATTCCCAGCATGCAACATTTAAACTGACCAATGAACAGTGAGTATTTTATTTCCTATGGTTTCAGTCAAGCTGGGGTGTATTATGTAATGGTTAATTTAGACTTTGTATATATCCAAGTACAGTTCAATTTAATGTCAGTTTCTAAGCTGTTAATAACAATAAGCATGTTATCACAATAAGCATGTTATCACAATAAGCATGTTATCACAATAAGCATGTTATCACAATAAGCATGTTATCACAATAACAGATCGTAAAGCTCTACCAATGTGTATTATACCTTGCGTGTTTGCCCGATAACAAGTATGTTTAATGTATAACATATTAAATAGGCCAGCCAACATGTACAAAACACATCCCCACCAAAATACTTTTTTTTTCGTGGGGGGGCTTTAATTTGACATCATGTCCCAATACTAATATTAGCCTTAGATATTTACCCTGACTGCTGTCACACTGTGCTTGCATGATTGGATTGAATACACTATACACATGCTACCAATAATGAAATCTAAACTGTCAATTATCTTATCAAATTTCAGGTGGCTTAGTTTATAGAAAGAACACAATACATATATACTTTGTAACGCTGAGCATTAATAGTGCAATGACACATTAGTTTTTCATGTTGACTTTTAAAGATTTAAAGCTGACGAATCACAAGCAATATGTTGCTGCCAAGTATTTTTTTAATATGGTGTTAAATTTTCGTGAACTGGGAAACTGAACCCTTACAACACTTAAACCTAGTAGCACCTATCATAATGCTGAACAGAATAACTAAATTACAGGAAATTCATAAACAAAAAGATTTTTTTCAAAGACCATAGAAAGAGGTTTTTAGCTGAAATATAATTTTTATGGAAAACAAAAAATTGAGCCACGATGGACATGGTAACCCTAAATACCGTAATAACTTTGTTGTAAACTGACCTGTGAAGACGCTTGGCACTTTAGACATGAAGCTTTTAACTGTTCTGACCGGTACGCCTGATTTATCATCTTGCATACGTTGTACCAATCTCTCCATCTGGCAGGAAAAACAATTTTTTTTTTTAATTAATATTAATAAACAGCAATACAAGATTGTTCACAAAGACTAAGTTGAGCTGCATGAGAGATAAAAAAAAAAAAAAAATAAATAAGAGGCTCAAACTGATATATCGACAATATACAAAAGTACAATGTAGGTGATACACGCTGGTAATGGACAGCCATTTTGAATTCAGTTCTGTTGTACATGAACTTAGTACTTTGTGAGTGCAAATGTGAGCAGTATAACCATAGCATGACACACTTCACTAAATCTACTTTCAGTTTTATGCTTGGAGTAAGTGGATATGTTCATTTCATTGTCAATACAGACAATAATTCAATAACCAGACAAGTGACTGCAAACTTAATACGACTAAATTTGTATCAATGTAATAGAAAAAAAAGTGCGTCATCTCCATATTTGTAGTCAGTGTTGTGTGGAGTTCAAACTTTAAGGTCAATATTTAGCGGTAATGTTTACTGAATATTGTACCTTGTAAATAAAGTGATTTCTTTCTCACATAATTAAAATAACAATTTCACAATTTTGTAACATGAGTGATAATATTATAGAATAGATTATACATTTATGCCAACTATTGGAGGTTATGTCGTAGTACATGTATCACAGCAGCTAGTATACAAGCAGTGTTATTATAATAAATAATATTCACTGATATTACTAATTACTATACACAGGCAGCCATATTGAATCCTTGTTGAATATTTAAAAAATAAAAAAATAAAAGTTTAAAATCAAAATAATGCAATTTTCATGTTCTTGTGATCAGTGATACATATAAATGATACATTGGGTAACTTTAATCTATCAGCTGAATGAAATTCATCCAAGTTTGGTGTTCTACTGTCCAAAAATCATGTGCATACAAATTATTAATTAAACTTAGAATTTTTCCAAGGGCATTTGAAACTGATTCATTCAGTTCCAAGAGCCAATAGGCAACTGGCTTTACAGTTAGCCGACAATTCCAGTTTTACTGTTTTGTAAAAATCAGTTTTATGAAAATGTTTTTGTTTTTTTTATGATTGGTGAGGATTCAAGATGGCTGCCTCCATATGGTATAACTGTAGATAAATTCATGGGTTTGTTATACTACTCCGGTACTACGTACATACATCAGCAGACTGTATAGTTGCAATAGTAGTTACGTGCAGCTTTACAGTTGATCAACAATATTGTTTTCGCATATGTATATAATCCCAGGAAGCTTATAGATGTAACATGTTTCTGGTCTAGACGATCTTTATGTAAAAATTAATTATTATTATAATTTTTACACTGGATTATAATTTTCAAAACATTCTTGAGATAAAACATTTTATAATTTATCATTTCATTCATGTTACATTCTACCAGTGCAAAGCAGCTAACGCAACAAATCACCCATTTTATTTCTAAAATACTGAACCACAGAGCAAAGAATAGTATTGCTGCAAGTGAGAAAAAATTATAGATCAAGGCAGGAAAAAAAAACAGTATTATTTTTAGGCAGTGCACATAAATGTATGATTTTTGCATAAACACACAATGTATTATTAGACACATAGTGTATATGTCACATGGGATATGTATCCAATGACAGCCTTCCTGACGTCACATGGAACATGTATCGGATGACGAGTCATGAGGAATGTAGCACTTTAATTAGGATCAACAGGGTATCAACTTTTGTTTTTATAGATAACAATCATGTTCTCTAGCTTTTGACAAGAAAAAACACCATTTCATGCCAAGGTAGAACCCCACTCATGAATAAAATACCCACAATTCATTCATTTTACAATAAATTATACTTCTGGTCAATATTAGAATATTCATGTAAAAAACGTTTGTTAGTTTTTTAAGAAAATCATGGTTGTATTTCATTATTTTTAGTATTACCGGTATAATGCTTTCACCATTAATTCCTAAAAGATATTATGCCATATCTCAAATTGAAGACTAAAGACAGAGAAGGGGGGAAAATGATATATTGTAACTGGATGGGACACTTTTCTTTATCCTGAATTATTTAAAAAATCTTGATTAAAAATTCAGTGGTTCTAAAAAAAGAGATTCTTGAAAAATAGAACAATGTTCTCAACACAAAATAATGCAGTTCTACTATGTTACCGTGAAGCTATACAATGTAGCTCTAGGATTATGCACAATAAACCAATGAACATTATCATGTATGATTTATGGCCAACTTTCTCAAAAATCATGAGTAGGTTTCTACTGTAATGCATACAATGACATTCACCTACATCATAATGCCTGGAAGAAGATAAAAAAAAAAAATTTTAAATCCACAACTCACCATTCAATAATCATTTTCTAAAATCTTATGAATTTTGGTATTAAACTATACGAGTACCATACTCCAAAAATATTTGGGTCAGATTATATGTGGGTGACAGAATTCCCAGACTACTAGGTCACATTGCCAAACATAAAACACATCATCAAAAAATGCACAAAAATTAGCCTCGGGTAAAAACTAATTTCTGTTCAGTACAAATTATACCCCTCTAACCACTCCACCAGATCTCTCCCTCCTATCACCGATAACACCTGAAAATAATAATTTGTAATTCCAAATCTCAAGTAAGTAGTTTTAAATAATGCCAAAAAAAAAAATGAGCTAGTTGTAAGCTGTCACACAAAAGTAGCTGGCTCAGTATCAAAATAAAGATTGCTTTGAAGTACTTGCAATTCTCCTCATGTAATCCTATCGGAAAATAACCATACCAATTTACTCGGCAGTATGTTAGAAAACATACGAGGATAGGTATTCTCTATACTTAACTGTTTGTATCTGATGGGATAGCGGATAACAAGCTCAAAGCCCTCGCAATGCTGGCGATCGTCCATCAAATTCTAATCAGCAAGAGATACCGAACCGTGCAGAGAGAAATAAAGGCATAACTGTTTAGGTGACAGCATGACTGGCTCTGCCGACATGTCTGATGTCAAAATCATGAAATTTGAACTGTTCACAAGATAACAGAATAATTTGAAAAAAAATAAACAGTTTAAGATAATAAAAATTTCTAAATAATACTTTTATTCAAATATAGAACAGAAATGTTGACATTTTTTTTAATTCTCTTCTCAAAATAAAGCATGTTGCAGTATGATGTATTAACTGATGTAAACCTTTAAGCATTCATACTATTAACGCAAAAGCCAACTGTCAATGTCACCTTTTACAACTTAACCACGATACCATTTTTTTTCAATAGTAGTGCATACGCTTAGTGGTACATAAATGACATAGATGTGTCTGTGGTCAAAATACATCATATTTTAATGATTCAGTATAGAATAAATGCTATTTTTGGTTTATGTGCACTTTTATTGGAGATGAGCTTCAAATATTGATATTTTTTGTTTTTTTTAACAATTTTTACCAAAACCTGTAGCCAGTGGGGAATTATATCCATTTGTTACAAAATTTATGAAAAATACATAGCAATATACATTAAAATGTGCAAAATGTTGTACCAAGACGTTGCTAAAAAAAAATTACAAATCAAATTTCACCCTTATTGTGAAATTGGGTAACAGTAGATTAAACTTAGAGTCCGTACGTCTGAAAACTAATTATATTTGATGCAATAATAGTCGCATGTCTAATTGGAAACTAGATATACATGTACAACCCATTGTCACGAATTGGCAATATTCCTCCTTGCCCTTAAGGTAAGACAAGAAGACACATACAACAGGTTTCACTGCAAGTACCTCTACAGAAAGATAATATTTTAATAAATCACAGTGTCTATAGACCTAAAATATAATCAGTGCATTTTTTTTAGTTCCAAGATTCATCAAATAAAATATTAATAAACCAATCAAAAACATCATCAGTAATTAGGTAATGATTATGCAAATGAATGCAGGAATGAATGAGACCATTAAAATAACATAGATGTGGGAAAAAAATCACACAAAAAAAAATGTAAAACCTGCTTACCAAGAATGCAAAGCATACATGTACATATTGAATGCAACTCAACTTGAATAAAATTTTGATTGTGGAACAACTAAACTTAGCATGACTAATCAGTCTGCATGTTGACCTTTATATAGAACCCAGGTCGCTTCTCATTTGTGAACTTTTGACCTGTCACTTATCCTGAGTGCCTGAACTTGACTTGTGATATTTGATATTTTCAAAATCCCTATCTATTTGATAGAACACTATAATTAGCAAACACAAGTATGTGTATCACAGAACAGGATTCTATTTTTTTTTTAATGGGCTTAATAAGCTCTAGGCATATGTGGTATGTTATGAGAAACTGCACAAGCAGCAAGTCAATAAATAATGCATTATTATCATCAAAAATCTGGAAATTTTAAAATTTACATTTAGCCTAGATATTGGTCATACACAAGATAATTTGTACGATAAAACTGCATCATAATAATATTATTTACAAGCTTATATCAACGTCAGGGTGGGTGGGGGTGCACAGGACAAATGTTTTCAATCCCCCATCCACAGGCTTTTACGCTGGAGAAATGCCTGACTTGTATAGGTAAATTCAATAAATACTGACAAAGAGGTCTGGTACATGTAATCTCAACCGAAATGTTATTTATTTTGTCAGTGACAAAATTGGTGCAAAATAAAAACAGTGTCAAACTCCTGCTGCTGAAATATGAAAGTTAATTTAGAATTCAATTTCCCATGCCCCCCCCCACCCTCTCTTCTCAGCAGGGAGACACTGATAGGTGCATTACAAGATACCACGAGTTTTACTCAGCTGAGTCTTAAATTTTTATCCCACAATGCTTTCTGTTCAGCCAGCCAGACACACACACACAGACACAAGATTATGATACAAACTACATCTTCAACAATTAGTCACAACGCTGCTGTAAAAGTACATGCAACCTAGTGACAGCCAATCAGAGTTTTATCGATTAAAACAACAAAATAATATGACAAATTCCCATTTGATTCCTGGCAAGTGATTACTTTA